CATATTATTGGACTTCCTCCATGGCCAATATTTGATTACTCTAGGGGTCTAAATAGATTATCTGAATTATGGGATTACTCCTGCTGCACTGCTACTGAACATGTGCATCAGGAGGTGCAAACAAATAAAATAAAATTTAAACCAATGTTTTTGTTTTAAATGCATCAATGGAAATCATATTTTCATATTTTGAGATAGATAAATCAATACATTCAATTCAATAGGCCTTGTTAACGAGAACAAAAATAAAACCTTTTTTTAATGACGTAAATGCATAGGTCTTTCTTTCCTTAGTTTTCTTTTACAGAGACTGACTATCAAAGCATTTATATTATGAAATAATAATACTGAGTTCTAAATCTAAAACCTCACTTTAAGTTGGCCCCATTTATTTTCCCTCCTTTAAAATGCAGGCAAATGCTCTTTTTCCAATCTTGTCTGTTATATCATATTGGTTTAATATTTGATATGGTATCCATCCATGAGTCATGATTCCGAGACTGCATGCATACAGGATTGAAAGAGTGGTGGTGGTGGTGGGGGGGGGGGGGCGTGGGGGCTTGTCCACTTACCATACCCACATCATGACAATGCTGATACAAAAAAGAGAACCAGCAACTTTAAAAAATTCTCACAGGATGGGTTTTGTGGCAAGTGTTTTTTATTTTCAAACTCATTCTTTGCATTTTCATGCTAAAAACAGGATGCCTGATGTAACCACTACCTGTAACTAAGTACATGCACCATTGTTTTCACAGTTTGGGGTTTCACTTTCACGTTTATGAAAATATTACAGTGTGTTAACTTACATGTATCCAGTACACGTGATGGCTACTTTCACACAACCCTAAACCTGTCCATGACTTCATGTTTACATAACAATACAAGGTAACTAAATGCTCCATTTCAACGACAGGATAGGAAATTATTTTTTTCCTCCCTCTAGTATTTCAAAGGAAAGTGTAAGGAGATGTATAATAAATGTATAGCACAGTTAAAGAAGATGATATGTCATGCCGTACATCGGTGTCAGAGCGGAAATTGTGAAATAAAGGGGGTGCACACCTTAAGAGGTTCAAACCTTTATGCCTTGTGAAACCTATAAGAGTTGGTTATCACATCGGATACCTCCATGCCCCCTTTATCTACCAAAGGTGTCCATATCTGGCGAACATGTAAACTACTATGGGCTGACACGTAGAATACATTTTTGGTTTGGATTAAACAGAATTGCCTCAAAACTTCCCTTAGGTATCGGGTAGACTACCGAAATTCACATTAAACCCAATTCTCATCAATGTTTTCTCACTTGTATAAACATCTGGTAAATTAACCAGATTGGAGAGCACTATAATATCTTTGACAACATGGAACAATGTTTCCATGTGTCTCTAAAGATAAAACTTTGAATTGCCATCACGATAACATGGCTACAGTAAGTTTGAAGAAAAAAAAGTTCTGTTAAAAAAAGGCTCTTTCTGGAGCCTATATAGAAAAACAATGTGTGAAAGTTTTCTACTCGGATACCGTATTAGTTTTAATCAAAAGGGAAACATGAGAGAAATTGATCGGAGAAAATTTGAGGAAATTGATAAAAATAAAAAAAATGTATGATTGATTGAGCATGCATCCATTAAACACAAAATGGCATAGAACTATGTAGATACCGGTATATTTCTATTAGAAGGGTAAAAATCCACTGTATGCAGAACAAGTTTACAATAACTTCATATGTCAAGGTTATGATAAGCTAATTTCAAAAGCTTTCAAAAGCTTAAGAGCTTTTAAAAGCAATCAAATTGATTTTGTAATATTGATTACAGGCTACATGTATGTACACAGTACATCAATTTTCTAACTAATTCATCCAAATCGTGTAGGGTTTACTGGTTGATTTTGACAACAGCTCAGTGTGCAATCTGTGAAATGCCCCCCCCCCCCAAAAAAAAAGGCTTCGGTGGGGGGGGGGGGCATAATAAAACATAAAAGGCCTGTCTGGACATAAGCATTTCTGATCACAGACACAAAACATGAGGGGAATAACAATAACTTCAACAAATCATACAAACATTAGAACTTTTTAAATGTCCATACATGTACATTCACCAACAAACTAATTTGCCCAACCATTGATATATTTAGAATACAATGAGGGCAAAAGTATCAAACGTAACTATGTAATACCAGCCAAGAATCAAAACAATTGCGTCGAACAAAGAGCATTTAAAGAAATTCAGTCAGACTGCTCTGTCAGCTGATAATGTGGCCTTCGCCAGAACCAGCTTGTAGCTCTGCGTGGGATGGCAGTACGTACCTCCATCTCCGCACAACAATACTCAAAAACAACCTTTCCCAGCACCCTGGGTTACAATGTAGTTGACCCATTGGACTTGAAGATTTGTGAGTCACTTCAGAAAATATTTGCAGAGTTAAAGGAAAAGGTTTGCCAGGAGATTTTGAATCGATTGATAGCGTGTTTATGAAGCAATTCCCATCCCCTCCTTCAAATAGCCATGTTGATGATGATGCTGATAGATCTATATGGAGGTGAAGATGGAAGACATGATAATCAGATGTGAGACAGGTAGAAGAAAAAAAGTTATCATGGAAACTGGGTTCTTCATGGCAAAAAGGTAAAACCAGTCTCAAGAAAGAACAGGCCCTCATTATGCAGGCTCCACACTAACTTAAATTTCAAAAGGGTATGGGTTTAGATACTTGTAGTTTTAATTTTCTCATGTATTAAAAGGGCTCTGATTAAAAGTTTGAAATTTTTGGTTCATACACACAGCACACAGTAACCCTGTGACTGAGTGTTGAGCCCTGCATTATTATTTGTCTGCATGTATTAAAAAGAAAATGGAAAAAAGTTCTCAGACAAAAGCATACATCTACCTAGCGGAGTTACTGGTATAATCTAATTAAATCTAATCCTTCAAAGTGAAAGTCACCTGATTATGAAGAGCAATAAATACCTTAATTTTTTCAGGAAAGGGATTTTAGGGTTCAGTAATATGATTAACTTTCATGGCCATTACTATTTCCAACGATATGAGATGTAAGCAGCAATATGCCTTTATCCAAAGATCACACTATTTTACATGAATTCTCTCGACTTTGCCAAACATATTCCAAAACAGCCAACTCTTGGTCATGTGATTTTGGTTGTCTTGTGTAGGTCTCGTCAGTGTGACTGCATGAGGTACCAAGATTCTTTCTCTGTCCTCCTATGAAAATTTAATATTTTGTCTCTTATATTTACTGAAACACATTTTTTTCCTCAGTATCCTTGTTTCCAGGTCAACATAGTCCATGAATGATGGGAATCGACAAACATACTTTCCAAGTGTGTGCCATTTGAGTTAACGTACTAATGTCACACCTGTTTGAAACATCACTCTCGTTCTATCATGGCGGGTGGAGTCTGGAGTCTGGACTCAGGAGGACGGCAAAACAAATATTTTGCCTAAATTTTTCCCAGAGAATTTAACAATTTGGGGAAATGTCATGGCAAATATTGTTTTCAAATCGCTTACACATGTAGGCTCAATATGAGTACTGATTCTGAATCAACTGCAGTGAAATCTGCTTTAGCAACAACCTGTCTATAAAGACCACATCTTTGAGTTCCCTTGGTGATCTTTTCTCGTAGAAACATGTGTTAAAGTTACCTGTACATAAAGACCACCTGCCTTTAGAGACCACTTTTCTTGCCACCCTTGAGTGGTCTTTATATGTACACGTTTCACAGTACCTGCATTTATGCTACAACATGCAACTGCCTGACCATATGTTTATGAAATAAACCAGATCTGTTCTGAATTGGATAGTTCAACATTGATCATAAGACCTGGAAAACCTGTACTTGCTCCAAATATTCAGGAGAGCTTTTTTCAAAATGTAGAATAATTTGAGAATGACAGATGTACAAGAAGAAAGCCTTCCAATGTTGTAACCGAACAAAAAAAATCAAGAGAAAAATCAAGAGAAAAAACAATTAAAACTTTTAACCAACATGCTTTAATCTATGAAAGCTATAAAATATTGAAAACAGAAAACAACCTTTTCCCCCTTTTTTATCAATGTTTTTACTCACAAAAATTTTGTAAAAACATCAACAATTTCAAAGGCTAATACCAAGGCATAACATATTTACAGTACAATCAAATAAAACAAATTATTTATACCAAAACAAAACAAAAAAGTTGTCATCAATCACCTGCTGAGAAGTCATGTGTTGAAAATAGACGGAAAGAACATTCCCATCTTATTAACTTACATATGATTTGATTTGATTTGATTTTATTTATTCATCATCAATAACATCAGTGATTAAACATTTGAATACATCGTGAATGGTACATGTTCATAAATGAATATTATAGATCATATTAAAGAAAAACCTAACAAAGTATTGATATGCTAGACATATGTCTTTTCTCATAGAATATAGAAGGTGATGAAAAGGAGCCAAATAATAGCACATGTGCTAGTCGAGTCTGGCCCCTGTTCTTAGCACACACTTGGCAAAAATAAATATATCATTATCAAAAAATAAAACTTGACAGTAGAAGTATACATGTTGAGTAATACCGTAGCACAATTTCTACACTCCAAATATAATTATGAAGAGGATATACCAGGTTAAAAAGTCATAGATACATGTATCTACAGATTATTTATACAAAAAATTGCATTTTTTTGACAAAAAAAAACAACAAAAATGTAATATGGAGATTATTTACAATATATACATGTGTACTTGCATAATTCAATCACTTATTCATCAAGTAATCGTTGAGATGTTTACGAAAAGTGTTTCTAGACCCTTTGTTTTTGATTTCATCGGGAAGTTCATTCCATAATCGGGTTCCTACACAAGTTACTGAAAATTTGCCTTGTGTTGTTTTATACAGTGGTTTTATAAAGGATTCATGTTAATGCAGTTTGCCCTACAAATACAACAGCCCATAGACAGAACACAACAGTATTGTACTCACCATACTTAATCAAAGAATAGCTAGCAGCCTTGGACTTGAATTTCAAAAAGTCCACATGTCCATCAAGAAATCAACGCACCAGAAATATTTCCTATTATTAGAGTCCGACTTGCTACTCCAGTTAAGCATGCACGGCAGATGTATATTCACTGTGTGTGAGAGAGAAAAGAGAAAGGGAGGAAAGTTGATGTGAAATCCACCAGCGAAATATAATGCAATGTGCCCAAGTCTTTTACTTCAAAATCAGAAATGATTCAAATGCTTCTACTTTTTCTCATTCAAAACTATTTCATTTCCGATGGTTTATCTTACACATTTCAAGTAAAAACAAGCAACATGCTCACATTTGGTTTATAAACTGTTCAACACATCATCAGCAATGCTAAGCAAAGGCTTAAAATTAGAAATGGCTCTTCAATAAATTCATGCTGTATTAAGAACTAGAACAAGATAAAGATAAAGTTTTCACAAGTTTTTAGAACAAATACAATTCCAAGAGAGGCTCTAAATACAATCTCACCACAGTTAGACGAATTCCTAAATCATGTCAGAGTCATACCATGCAATAACAACTCCCCTCCGTTCCTCACACGACACTGGGCCAGTATTCCAAATTATAATGGCACCAGGCACAACTGTACAGTCAAGCAGGTACAATAGATTCTAGCAATAGGTGAGAGAGCTCGAGAGGGGGTGGGTGGAAGCAATCACATCAGGCACCTACCACCACAGACAAGGTCCTCCCAGAGAATGAATCTCAGTGGCTGGCTGGCTGGCTGGCTGGCTCGCTCGCTGGATGATTAATGCACGCTGAATTACTTCCACCCACTGCACTAGTCTCGCTCATTTCAGCAGTCGGCCATGAGTTCTAGAATACAGGTACATACAGGCTTGGGGCAACTGTGCCCTTACCCCAAAGCAACTGGAATGCAATATAGCAGGCCTGAATTTAAGCCTGAAGATTTCTGATGAAAGTAGCCCAAGTATCCCCCCCCCCCCCCCCCGCCAAAAAATAAAAAAATAAAAAACCTACATGTACATCATAATATTGAACAAGTTCAAATAGAAGTATGGATGATGCAACAGCTAGCTTTTGACCTTAAAAAGAGTTCTGAGATATTAATACATTTTCTCGATATTCCTACAGTACAATTATGCATTTAAAAGAATTATTAATATCTCTCTCTCTCTTTCTCTTTAATCTCTATCTTTCCCTTTCTGCAGAACAGCCCTACACAAAATATACTTGGTGCTCTTATCAAGATGCACAGAAGTCATTTTTAGCTTTATCATGCATGTAAACAGGAAGATGTAAGAGTAATAAATATAATCTAGAGGTATCTTGTTTGGGTGAAAAACAAAGCAGTGTCTGAATATAGTGGTATAACATGATTTACCTCATTGCAACCAAACAATTAAATGTATCCATAGAAATGTTTTTCAAACAGAGTCACAATATTAACAATTATTTCTACATTGTTGTATCCTTTCACTTTTGCTTCATTATTCCAGAAAGCATATTATGCAATTAAATGCAATGATTTTGAAGTCTATTTGCAGTTGCCAGTCTAACTTAGCAGTCAGTACCTTGACATGTTCTTATGTCCATGGTATCAAAGAAAAGAACAAGCAAAGAAACTAAGAAAGTAAAAATAACTCAATATATTAAAAACCAACCTGTTAACAGAAACCCGATCACCAGTAAGCCCGTACAAGGTGTGTTCAATGACGAACAGAGGAAGTAAGTTTCTACACTTAGACCAATACAGAAGACAACCAAAATAAGTAGAAACACCAAGTTCTTTCAAGAGGCCATTGATGGCACCTTAGTTTGTGTACACAATCACATCTGCACTCTTTGGTCTGTTGGCGAACAACAAAAGACCCGGTATGAAAGGAGGGCTATATACCATTCAGCACAAAAAATCAAACATAATTGTCTACCTCTACCATGCTCTGATGCAACATTTGAATGGGGGTAAACCAAGCGAGGACGTACTTAAAGAGATTGGGAATATACTGCATGGACGGAAAGGTCATGCCTCTTGCTAGACAATAATATTAATTGTACTTCTACTTATATGCTTATAATACATTCTGCTCTCCTTTTGTTGAGCAAAACGAAAGATCTTTCTATCATAGGACTACAATGCAATATCTAGAAGATGTTTCCTCACCCCACCTCGGTTTGGGTTATTATTATTATTAGGTCCCACACACTTTTTGAAAGTTTAATCCATTCCAAATTTAATTTACAGTATTTTTATTAGATTAGGACTACCAACAGACTGCGAATGAGGGTGCATAGCATTACTATGCCTTGATTACATACAAGTATACATGTATGTGCAGGTAGAAGATGAGGAAAGTACATCATGCATCTATCTTGAATAGTCAAGATGGAAAATATTTGATATATCTTATAAAATAAATCACTTCATTACTCAGCTAAAAACATGATGTATTTAGTGTCAAATACCAAAGCTTTGTATTTAATCACAGAACATATTTACCCTAGATGTAGAATAGCTTGTAGCTTAAGTATGTATTCAATAGTTATTTATATTTATTCATTACATTCTAATTCATTGCTGTGATACTTTGGTGTATTAGTGGTACCAGAAACGATTAGCATTAAATGCTATTTTCTAGTCCCATTTATCCTTTCAACGTTAACCATTCACTTTTGATTGTTATATTGATGTACTTTTTGTTTTGATAATAATAATAATAAATACCAACCAACTCACTGATACATGTAAATGTATACACTTGGGTGAGAGGATAAAATTAAGGCTTTCAAGATATTTTGACAAAAAAACGATTTGCCAAGTTTCACATACATGTATTTATGATTAAACATGAAGTTTTACACAGCAAGTAGTCTATTATTAAAGAAAACTTACCAAAAATAGAATGAGAATATAAGCCTAGACGAATTTAAATTATAAAAAAACAGAAGTGTATATCCTTTCACATATTCCTACGATAACCAATGTCTGGACTACTTTCTAAATTTACATCAAATCAATATCAAGTCACATGTCTCTGAGATATCCTCCCGACTGAAATCCTATAAACTGATTATGTGTCGTCATCAGCGAGCTTTTCCCATCCAGACAAAATACTCTTTGTCAGTAAACATTTGCTCTAAAGTGGGCCCAGTTACTCAGGTATGTGATAAACTCATTTACATGAATGCCTCTATTCAGTAGACTCCTTTCGAGACTCTTATCTGCATAGGCTCTACCTCTTTTACTGTCAAATATATTGAATATATTCAATGATAAAGTTTTTTAAAAAATGACTGAAAAGGATATATATTGCTTCACATTTTAAAACCAAACTGAATTAATGATTTTTTGATTTTCGGGAGAAAAAAAAATTTAGAACATAAAAAAGGCAATTTTTATCTAAAAAGATTTAAAATATTTTGTTTTCATTAAATTAAGATTTGAAGAAAAAAAAATTGATTCAATTAAAAAAAAAATCACATTTTTTTTTCAACTCCCAAATAGTAAACCAAAATAGTACTCTCATATAGTACTTTCTAAAAATAGGTCAAATATTTTTGGTCATGTGACGAGCTCTCAACCAATCAAAAGCAAACAAATTTGTGATGCAGATATAATAATAGTTAAAAGTGGTTTACATATTATAGTAGTTTTTAAAATATTTGAAGTGGTAGTGGTGGTGAAGATGATGATGAAGATGATGATGAAGATGATAATGGTGGTAGTGGTAGTAGTGGTGGTGGGGTGGTCATGGTGGAGGTAGATATGGAGGTGGTGGTAGTGGTGAAGGTGGTGGTAATGGTGGAGGTGATGATGGTGGTGTGGTGATGGTGGTAATATGGTGGTGTTGAATGATGGTGGTGGTGGTGGTAGTGGTGGAGGTGATGGTGGTGTGTTGATGGTTGTAGTGTGGTGATGGTGGTGGTGGTGGAAATGGTGGTGGTGGTGGAAATGGTGGTGGTGGTGGTAGTGGTGGTGGTGGTGGTGGTGGTTGGTGGTTGGTGGTTGGTGGTTGGTGGTGGTGGTTGGTAGTGGTTGGTAGTGGTTCGTGGTGGTGATTTGGGTAGTAATAGTGGTGGTAGTGGTGGTGATTAGGTTACTAGTGGTGTTGGTGGTGGTGTTAGTTGTGGTGGTGATAGTGGTTGTGTTGGTGGTGGTGGTAGGGGTATTCATATCGTCGCTGTTTTCACGAGGTGACGGTAGTGAAAAAAAATTGCATTCACTTTGCGTTACGATTTTCCTCACTACCGTCACTTTGTGAAAACAAGGACGATATAGGCCTCAATCTTCTTCATGTTTGTTACACCAAAGAATTATAACTATAAGACTAAATAAACAAATAAGTCAATGTAGAAATGTAGACCTGCACTTTTCCATAGTTATTCGTCCGTAATATCCACAATTATTCATACTTCAAGTTCAACCTCAATAACATTGAATTTTAATTTATAATCTTAAAAGGGGTGGGACTGGGAGAAAATCATAACCCTTTCTATTCACTCAAAGGCAAAGCCATTTGTGTAGTCTATTTCCAACTCAAACGTCACAAATTCACTATCCAAATGTCATAGCTCACTTCTTCACATTCAAATTCATCGATAATGGGTATGAATTGCCTAGGGCACATTATGCCCCGCTCTTTTGTAAATACCATTCCCATGACTGTAGAGGCACGCCACAGGGCCCCTTGCTAGCTAGCCCTATAACAGGCAGGTGCTACACAATAATAGAGAGGTCAAAGAGAAGAAAAAAATCCCAGGACCTTTGGTTTGGTATAGCACAAAACATACAGGTTCTCCAGCCAGGGCTAGTCTTTAACAACAAACCATTTATGGTATGAAGAATCTCTCTGTCCAGTTCTCAAGGAGCATGTCATGATCTTGGCGTGTATTGTATGGTTTATTATATTGTGTCGACTCTGCATTGATTATACTAATTCTCTGTAGAATCAACTCAATCAAGTGAGAACATTAATACTAACACAAATGCTATCTTGCTCCAGGTTTCAACTTTTGGAACAAATTCAAACAATTAACTTTACTGAAAAAAATAAATTACAGTTACTTCATCTAAAAATATTTGGATGACTGAAATACTGCCAGATTGCCTTTATAAATTTTCAAAAATCAAAGATTCCAATTGAGATAGACCTTCTATGAACAAGTAGTGTAAACCTGTTTTCAAGCCTCTCTATTCTCATGGACCTACAGGTATATCATTAACCATAGGCCAAAATGTCAAAGGAATTTCGAACTATCACTCAATTGCAAAAACCATGGTGGCATGCAAAGCCAATCCATGCTACGAGGGGGGGGGGCACAGAACAAAAATGTAATCACTTCATGTGCATTTTTTATCACTTTACTTGGATGTTACATTTAAAATAATGAAAGATCTGGCATTTTCCAGTTTCCACTAGGAAAGATGATTTGATCAAAATTCTGATTCAATTTTTGCTTTAAAAGGCTAATGACCTTCTACCTTGACTAAGAATCAGTCTTCTTTTTCTTGCCTCATTTTACTCTTTGAGATCCCAAACTGCAAAAGAATAAATGTGGAATGGTATATCTAGTATCTACTCTAAATATAATAACACACTTTTGAATATTTGTGACAACTGATATCAGAGTAAAAATGCCATCCCATATTAGAGCCAGAAGGGTATCAAAAGATATCTGATTTACTGAAGACACAGTTAACGCCTTCCTGGCTCTGAAGAGACATTTGATTCATTGGCAGTTTGGAACCCTATAGAGCGAAAAGGGGCTTGGAAAATAAGACTGAGGTTTCCACCAGATTCTATTTAGCTTGTGAGATGAGATCAAAAGAAAACAACCAAGGAGTAAGTGTACAAGGAATGACCTTTCACCTTAGGTGACCTCATAACCATGCATACACAGAGTTTGATAGGATGAGGGGGCATAGTTCTAAAGAAAAGAACATTGCAGTGACTTGAGCAAGTTGAGGGCATTATAATGTAATCAGAAAATTGCATGAATAGTAGGTACTTGTCCATAATAAGTCAAGGCATTTGTCACAAAATACTGAGATTTCTGTTGACCAAGGTCTTTCGGTACTCTCCCAGTGACATTGTTTTAGCCTGTAATGTATCTACGGTATGCTAAAGTTAGGCATACATGGGATTTGTTATTAGTTTATCTTTTCCATTATTTTCTTCTATTTTTTATCAATCATTACCTCTTTCTTAGAAGAAAAATATGATAAACATAAATATACATGTACACTGAACTACTCTAGCTGGCAGTATGTGCATTGTGTCTGGGAACTAAAGCATACAAGGCAGACATTCCAGTAAATTTGGAAAGAAACAGTCAACAGCCAAGGTTTCTTACGACTGTTCAGTAATTCCTTCAGGCTAACAAACAAGGAATTGCATCTCAATATATTTATGGGTCTTTTCACACTTGGGTAACATGATCTATACAAAGAAACATCATATACCTGAACAGTAAACACTATACACACAATCTAGGGACTAGAACTTATCACAAATCTGCCATAGTATGCATTTTGTCTGCTCCCTGTTTTTCATATTGTGTTAACATAAGTTCTATAAACAAAATCCAATTTTTAAAAAAATCATAGATTCAACTTGAGATCATTCAAATTTCATATGAGTATTGTATCAGTGAATTGATACAATACTCATATGAAATTTGAATGATCTCAAGTTGAATCTATGACTCTTAATATTAGGAAAACTTCATCTCTTGTTCTCTTCATAAAATGACAAAAATAATCATATTTCTTGATTTCATGACTGAGCAAGCTTTTCTTTCATTGGAGAAATACTGCAAGTTAATGATCTACACACTGCATGCCCTGCACTGTATGCCATGTGAGCAAATATCCTGAG